CAATTAATTGTGCCTGTTTCCTCAAATAACTTCTGCTCATTTTTTAAATAAAGATTGGCTTTTTTCTGTTCCATATACAATCACTGTATGTTTTCCTTGACTGTCACTATACGGTCTTATTTACAGAAGAAAAACTGCATGATTCTAAAGCCTAGAGTACAGACCTATAGTCCCAGGCCTTTAGAATTCCTCCTGTACTGTAGAGAATTTCCTTCCATTGTATTCCTTTAAAAAAAAAAAAAAAATCCCTTCTTGCAGGATGAGAGGAATTTTAAAGGGTGAGCACCATAAGTTTGAAAATCTGTTGTTTTAGCAATAGTCTATTACTGCAGCTGAAGAGGATTCAATAATCCTAAAAAGAGTGATAACATTTGCAGTTATGCAAACCATAACAATTATGGCAGTAATCAGATTTCATATTTCAGGGTATACGTTGATCATCTGCCCACATCCTTCATTCTCTCTCACACACACACATGCACGCACGCCCATATGGCATTGCACAGCTGACTAACTGCACTATACCGCAGTTTCCCCTTCCTTTGAAAATCCCCAGACTAGATGGACCAGCAGTGGTCTAACCCTATGTGGCCAATATTACAGGCTATTTAATACACTTGAATGGCAGTTCTGCTTTTGACTAGAAAAGTCACTACATGCACAAAGAAAACCCCAAAATTCCAAAGATATATTTTTATTTTTATTAAAACATAGTATACCTTCAAAGCACTGTATGCATTGTTTCAGTTTTTCTCCCTTTCATACCTATATACCTATTTACATTTTTACATCACATTTCTACTAATAGATGTTCAGTATCTCCATCCCTTTCTAACAATATGCATGAAAAAAATAGATTTCAGACATTTTAGACAGAAATTGGCACTAAATAAATCTGTCAGCTCTTTGATAAGTTTTAAAACTTAACTTTTCACCAGGTATGACTTTGCTACTCTCAGTAGGATACAAAGTAGTTTCTAAAAGCGAAACTGAAAGAACACCACCCCACAAAGAGAAAGAGGTCACGGTTCTAATTCTTCTTGCTACACCATACATTCTCAATCAGAGTCTGTCCCTTGAGATGAGCAATGTGCATTTCACAAAGAAAAAACTAGAGAAGTCAGCTCAGATGTTAGGAAAATGATAAAAAGTAGTCATAAAAATTGGCTGAATATTGCATCAGAAGAGGAACAAAGACCCACAAGAGATAAAGTAGGTCAAGAACTCACAAGTCAGGAAGTGCTAGAATTTAGTATGCATAGGTATGCATTTTGTTATAGGGTAAAATTTAAAAAAAAAACAAAACACCTAAGTGACTTAGGAGTAAGTTTCATTTTCAAAAGTAACTTAGGCACTGAAAAGTCTAAGTCTGATTGAAAGTCAATGAGATTTAGGTTCCTAAGTGTCTAAGTCACTAAGTAACTTTTAAAATGGAATAGGAGCTCTGAGAATTTTACCCACAGACTTCAATTACATGATTACATATTTTTTCCACAGAGCCTTTCCCTCATTCATTGCACAGAATGGATAGTAAATGAGGCAATGTTGTGCAGTGAAGGAAACAGTTGTCTGCAGAACCCCTGCCTCATTTGTAAGCCTCAATTGCAGCAGAAGTTGGAAAGTGGGTAATAAATTAAACAGGTAGAAATGGTGATTTTCTGCAGCTCATAGTTTAGTCAACTCTGGACCCAATTTCATAGGGACATAAAAAAGTACCCTCTTTACCAAAGACTATCTCCCTCCCACTTCAAACCCTGAAAATGAAAAACAAAATTGACAAAATTACCTGACAGTACCCTATGCTTATTACAGCAGAACAAAAGTTCAGTTATAATTAAGGTTCAGACCAGCTTTCTGTTTAAAGCTCAACTCTTCTAAGTGCTTTAAAACCTATGTGGTTACTCACTGCCTTGAAATTTGGTGTGCCTCATGGAAGTGCAGTGGTCTATTAGTGATACACATTTGGAGCCATTTGACCAAGCGGTTTTTGAGATACAGCACTTGAAAAAAAACCAGCTTTTTTTTAAATTGACAGATTCTGGCAACCTCTTTTTGCTCAGATAGAGATCAAACCAGGGTTCAGATCATCACACCAGGGAGTCCAACGCTCGGGCGTTACTCCAACAGCGTGCATGGCCCTTTGGGGGAAATCAAATTAAATTGTTATTTCAAAATGTTTGTTTCTCCAGTTAGGCACATAACGGATTACACTGACCATGTATGGACAGAGAAGTTAACAGGACTGTTAGCCTTCAAAGTTTCACACCAGCTGGATACTGAAGGAGATAAGTAGTAGTCCTTGGAACCTGACCCAGTCACTGTCAGTCTGAGTCCCACTTTGGGCAGAATGTTGGAAGAGGCTGGATCCCATATTGCTAAAATCTGTTTCTGTCAGAGGTTGGGGTTTTGTTTGGGGGGGGGGGAAGGGATTAAATCAAAGTATTTTTGTAAAAGAAATTAGACGTGAATGCTTGCTGGAAGAGGAAGAGTGAAGGGCAAGAGGGGGGGAAGGGAGTTGGGGCTTCATCAAGGGGAGGGGAATAAATGGGGATGGACGGTAGGGGATGGACATTGGGAAGCTGACATGGGGGTGAGTAGCAGGAACTGGGCCTTTCTCCTTACTCCCCATGAGAGCTGGAATCTGGGGGGGGGGAGCCTTGCCTCTCCAGGGGTGTCTGAGCCCCACTCTCTGCCCCCATATGTGCACCAGGATCTGCCCATAACATGAGCAGCCCTCCATTAAGTTGCTGCTTATGATATATGTGTGTAGCAGCATAGAGCAAGAGACAGCAAAAAGCAACTTCTTACATGCTGATGGCTTCTGCAGTGCCAACAAATGACTTAATGGGATGGAAAGGGAAGCTGGAAATGTTAGTGAGAAGTGGGGAGGCTACATGTTGCAGGAAATGGTATGGCAGTGGGGTGGGGAAAACGCGACAGACACCAATCTTCTCTCACACGCTTAAAGCTGGTGGAACAACTTTGTAATTAAAATGTCATGGTTTTGGGACACAGACAATGGATGAGATTTCTCTCACCAGCCCTGTTAGCAACTACAAATTGGAAACAGTTCAAAGCACGACCATTATCCCCATTCCACTACAACAAAATGTACAGGAGGAGGGAGGAGCACTGAGGAATCACATAGCAACCATGTGCCTAGTGCAAAGACCACTGGACTGGGACTGTTCCTAGCTCTGCCTCTGGCCTGCTGAGCGACCTTGGGCAAATCACTTCACCTCTCTGTCTCTTGGTTTCCCATCCGTAAAATGGGGATAATAAAGTTCTTTGAGATCTAGTGATGAAAAGCACTATACAAAAGCTAGGTCTTTTGATTATAAACTAGATACAGTAGCGTATCAGCCGCAACTCTAGGTAACAACTACAACTGCCTTAACGACCTCTAACTTTGACCAACAAGCATGTTTCTTGGTTTAAAAAAAAAAAAAAAACAGGAAATTAAATGGCAAAACACATAATTAGTGCAGAGTTAAGGTTGCTTGGTGAAAGCCCACGCCCTTTCAGAACATCAAGTTCAGCCAAACTCAAACTTCTGAAATCCAGACAATATAGAGTTAAGGTAAACATGCCCGCAACCTTAACTCTGCCCTCTTTGAGCAATGCCCCACAATGCCCATAACATGCACTCTCCCACTCTGCCTTTTCACTGTAATGGACAGGCATTACCTAAACGACCCATACACTGAAACACTGAGCCTACTCCCAAGAGAATACAATACCTGTAAAATTTAACAACCAGTTCATACCCTTTTACAACCCCTTCACACTTGCACACAGGATATCAACTTAACCTACACTTTGCCCTTTCTATCATTAAACCCACAGACTGTTCTCATATCCCAACTCACTACTGACAATACCCATGGCATGAAGACCCCAGTGCCCTGCTAACGACCCAACCTACACAATTCTGTACTGAAATGATGCATACTGGAGGCTCAAGGTACACAAGCACCTCTTTCCTTTGATAGCACACATTGGGGGACTCAGACCCAGATCTCCTCATATCACAAACACAGCTCTAGCATGCCCATCAAACTAATCCCCAGATCTCTGCATATACAATCACAGCTCTTCCAACTTATTCCTCCTCCATTCAATGCAGCTACGCCTTACCCAGTGAATGCAGCGGGAGTGATGCAGATAATTCCCAGTGGCTATTGGCAGCTTCACAGGGGCAGAGTTAAGCATTTATTTTAACTCTATTTCCTGATTTTCAAAATTTTGAGTTTTGCTGAACTCTATGTTCTGGAAGGGCATGAGCTATCACTGGGTAACCTGTGTTAAAGTTTTTTTCATTTAATTACACATGCTCACATGCTCTGATGTATATACAACACATTATACAATATTTATAAAGCACTTAAGTTGACAAGCATTTCTTAAATATAGAGTATTCACCAGCAGCTGTATCTTCTCATAGACAATAACCATGCATACTGCAATCTTAGATTGTTTTACTTGAGATTATTTGATTCAATTTGGTGGATATTCAGCTTGTCCTTCAAGTTGGCACAATTTACTTCTATAAGAGCTGGTGTTGCAACTTGTGTTCTAAAGTTGCTGACCTCACTTCTTCTATTTATGAACTCTACTGCACTGTGGTGACTAATTGTGGTGAACAAAAAATTATGCTTCATCAGCAATCAGTACCTTGCCCCATTTAAGTCTTTCACTCATTTTTGTATTTTTAAGTCATGCTGTTTAAAGGTATCTGATCCAGATGGTGGATACTTGCCTCGTGAGGTGGCTCAATATAATAAACTGTTGCATTGCTTCTTGTGCTACCTGCTGCTGTCCTACTTCTTTCTTTAATTTCTATACCTCATTGTACTGCATAATAAAGAATACAATCACATGCTCACTGAACTTTTGTCACCATTACCCAACCACGGTAGTGTAGCAATTGTAAAACAAAATTAAAAAGGGAAAGAAAATAGACTGAAACTGGTATGAAAACAATAATGAAAAAGTCTCACCTTTATCATAGTCATCTTCCTCTATTGCTTTTTCTTGAAGCCTCTGAAGCCTTAACATTAAGGATTTTATCTGTATCAATATAAAAACGTAAGTTTAACTACAACAATGGGTACTCGTGAGTGGGTTTGGGTGCTTTTTTTTTTCCCCCCCCCCTACAACAGAAGTCTGCTCGGGTCTAATTTTTAAGCCCGACCTGGACCCAAACTAGACCGAAGCCCACCTGACCCAACCTGACCCCAGGAAGGTTGAGTTGTTTTCCAGATTGACATTAACCCTTTCCCCTGAACCTGAGCCAGTGCAGCCACCGCCTACTTCCTGTGTGGTCAGTGCGGCAGCATCCATTTTTCCCCATTCCTAATGGCCACCACCCCTTGTGTGGTCTGCAGAGAGGTGCTGCAACTCCTTTGGTCACTCGCTCCACAGCGCACACAGTGCAGCAAGGTGGCGACGGCCAGCAGGAGCAGGACACGCAACTGCTGAAGCACCACCCCTACAAGCAAAAGGAGAGCTGACCTGACCCAGAAAGGTTTGAGTTGTTTTCTGACCCAACCCTGACATTTTGATTAAGCTTAATATCATTTTACACTTTACAGGCACTTATCCTAAATTAATACAGCCACACTGTTGTTCCACACCTGAAACCAAAGTAATTGTTCTTAGTGAGCAAATACGAAAGCTGCAAAAGCAGCATTATTGTGAACCTGATTTCTGGCCATCTTCAGTCCCACATTTAATCCACGGTACAAAATTAATCTAGCAGGAAGTTGTGAGACTTGGTCAGGCTACGTATGTATTCAAGTGAGTTGACGATACCCCTTGACTTGTAAGCCTTGTTCCAAAATGCCCCTCGAGGTGCTACATAGGGAAGACCTGCAGAGCAATGTCTACATGGATCTAGTTTCTTCAAAACTGGGACAACAATAACCCCCATGTAGGCCTCTGGTTTCAACTGCACAACCCATGCCAGAATTTGGCCCCTCACACACTTATACCAGTCACTTCATCCATCAACAAAATACAGCCACTTCTGGGAGGAAGTGGCAGCTGTTTGATACAGAAACACCACAGCTTATTAGGAAAGGAAATGAAGATTACTGTATTCTGCTGAAATTGCAATTTTAACCATTACAAGAAAGATTAAAATTGGTTATTTTAAGAAGGAAATTGGGAAAAGGAAACAGAGTAGTGGTTCTCTCTCATTTCTAACCATGCACTATGCTGCTGTAAATCCATATAAAGAAATGCCACAAAGCCACAAAAGCCAGACATTTCCTGTCTTCTGCAACAGCTCGGTGATTGATTTGTCTAAAAATCCACAGCACCAAATGAACATGAACAAACAGTGTGATTACCAACCTTTAATGTACTACGGTTGCCAACCAAGCAGTCCAATAGCACCGGTTCATATTTCCTCATCAGGGTGTCCCAGTTGTGATCACTAACAGTAAAGCTACTTTCGTAGCCTGAGGTAACAGAAGAACCAGCAGATGCTGCATCTGAGGAATCTGTGGAACATGAAAATGCTGCATCTGTATCCAAAAGAGATACCATCTCACAATCCTGCAATTTATTTTTCACTATGGTCTCTCGTGCACACTGATAATCCTCACCATGCCTACAAATGCAAGATGAAGCCCCTACGTCTTTATGTGAACTTCTTAGTCTCTCCCCTGGTTCATGTAAATTAACATTTTCTATTTCTCCTGTTGCATTTGTTTGCAGTGTGTGTTCCGTTGCCCTGCCATCTGACTGACCTTCAGTGTCACTTTTTTCAAAACTTGAGTTCAGTGAGAGCTGGATGAAGCTGAAACTTGAATTAAAGCTATCCCAAGTACTGGACGAGTAAGAAGTGACTTCTTTGTTGTTATATACACAGTTATTGTTCACTTCCTTCTGATCCAAAGTGTATATTTCCTGTGGCTCCTTTACTCTAGCACCGTGGATTGTCTTCCACGTAGTTGCTAGTAGATTAGTCTGCCATGTATTTGAACTGCACACAGGTGAGAAGTCTCTTTTATATGTGGCAGCTGCAGGACAAACCGGCAGAATTACATTTTCTGACGGCTGAATCCTGAGATCTGACAGATTTCTGAGGCTTCCTGTCATATTTCCAGCAGTGGTCGATGTTGTTACCACAGTAGTGGTAACTATGGTACTGTTTACAGATGAATTACAATGTAAGAATTCAAAGTCATTTTTGCATAGTCTGTGCAGAGAGCAGTTCTTGAAGTCTTCACAATGCTTTCTGCCATGTTCAAGCCCTTTTGGGTTGAATGGCTTGCAGTGAGCAGGAGGCTGTAACTCTATCTGTTGTGGAGCTTGTGGTCTCATGTATCCTGGTCTCTTTGCCAACTTCTTTTTATGAAAAGAGACAGGAGGCAGTGAATGACCCTGACCATCTGAAAAAAGAAAAGAAAATGTCTTTAAAATGTTTGTGTGATTTTTCTAGGCTTAAACTACTGTAGCATCTGAAAGTAATTACCTCAGAACATTCAGACAGAACACTGATTTCTTTTTAAACACACAGAAATTGACAATACTGTAGAATGGGTATCTAAAGGGGGAAAGAGGGTTCTGTTATCATTCTGTTGGCCTGGCATCAGCTCTCTGATCTGGGATGATTTGCACATGTATATGTACGAACAGGCAACTGTGTGCTCAAAATACACATTTGCATATCTTGTATAGCACTGAGCTCACATTTACAAAAGAACATAAATCTGAATATGTAAAATAAATACTTGCACAGCAATTTTGCATTTTACATACACCTTTTGCTCCCGCTCAGCTACTTAAGTTCACATGCATATTTTACCAGTATAACTTGGGCATCTATTTTTTTAATTTTCTCCCTAAAAATTCAAGCATATATTATTGTGACATTGCACTCGATAATGTTTTATGGAAATATGCTTTTGAGTGTGAATATGATGTAACTGGAATATGCTTTATGCAAAAGGTCTCTTATAAGGCATCATTACAAAGGTTATAACCTACTGAATATATTCCTCCTATTTGTATGCATGTATCATTCTTGTATCTGAAGCTAGAAATATGAAGTATAACTCTGAGGTCCTATCGTAATTATGCAGTGTGGGCCATTAATGGTGGTTTAGAATCTTGATGGCTCCCATTAACTGGACAATTGGTTGTAGATGGTTTATTTACCTGCAAGCCTTCCTGTATAGGTGTGAGCCAGCCTGTGGGTAATGAAGAATGAGGTCTCACAGGACATGTGTCCATGTCACATGATACTGGAATCCATCTTAAATCTGGTACTTTTCCATTTAGAAAGAGGGGTGGGGACCCAGAGAGACAAAAGATTCCCACCTTGTGCCAAAGCTGTAAAAAGGGGGTGGAGCAGAACAAAGGGGACTTCCAGTCATGAGAAAACCCCTAGTGATGGAGATAAAGTGAAAACAGCTCTGCAGGTAACCTAAGTCTGCAGCTTTGGGGGGATGGACCAGACCTGGGTCTGTGTTGCAGCAGGCTAGCGTGTCTGGCTCAACAAGGCAGGGTTCTGGAGTCCCAAGCTGGCAGGGAAAACGGGCTCAGAGGTAATTCCAGCACGTCAGGTGACAGTCCCAAGGGGGTCTCTGTGACCAAACCTGTAACAATTATTACACTGTGGCATGTGTAAATGTTATTCTAAAGTGAAAAAATCCTAAAGTCTAACTTTACTTATAGTTAAAAATGTAGACAATACTGTATGTACCAAAAATATCAAATCAAGTACTTTCCATAATAATAATAAAGTAACAAAGGCTAATTTTGGGAGACAGATGGTCTTCCACACAGTGCTCAACTGCCATATTGTGTCATTAAGATTATTACTGCAATATATCATTAAGAAGAGATCCCCACAATTCAATGGCACACAGAGTTGAGTTCTAAACCATCTGAGACACAGACACACACACACACACACACACACACAAATCAAAAAGGGAAAACAAAATAATTCTGTTCTCAAATCAGTAGTTTCTGCAAAGAAATTATGCAAATATAAAATGGTCTTATACAAAAAATGAATGAAGTATAGAATCTACCTAATAAATTTTGCTTCATTTTTCTTTGTATCCTTAACCTATAAATAGCTTTTCATTTTTAAAAAATCAGGTGCACCAAAGTAGAAAAGAATTTACCATTTGGGGTCTACATTTTTTTTTTAGATTTTGTGTGAATTTCAGTGCTTGTGAGAGATGCAGATGGACTGTGCAAAAATCCTATACAGAACAAGCAGTGGCAATGAAAGCTTCCCATCCACTATTTCATTATGTGCTACAACTATAGACTGAAATGGCCTCTCTTCTAGAATACCTTTTCAAAAAACTCTGTTCATTGCTTCGGTTATGGTCTTGGGCATAGCACAGCATCGATCTATGTTCCTGGGCAAAAATACACTGATTGACTGATTAACACTGACACCTGACCTTCTCAGATCGCAAGAGCCACTAGAATAAGATGAGCTTTGGCTCTGATTTCTCTTAAGATGCTGACGATTTCAGATAAAGGATCTTTTGGACAGTTTAACAATATAAGTTAGAGAGACTATCCACATCTTAATACAGAGTGTGACATTCTATACCTTGGGGGAGCGTCCTGTAACCCCCATATTCCTCATTTTTATATAATCATGATCTTACATATAAAGCATGCCTTGTAAGGTATCAGGGGAAAGGTTATGATCTGCTGAAAATCATTTCTCTATCCATATATGTATATCATTAATGCATATGAAGTTATGAGAATTGTGTTGTATGGTTGTCACTAAAACATGATGTAAGTTGGGCAATCAGCCAGATATTAGCTCCCCGGAAGCAACAGCAAGGGAAGTAACCAACACCTTTCGGTAACTAACTCTGACTTTTTGCCTATCACTTAAAATCTATCTTTTGTAGTCATTAAATTTGTTTTACTGTTTATCTTTACCAGTGAGTTTGTATGAAGTATGCTGCAAAATTGCTCAGGTTCTCAAAGGCTGGTGTACATCCACTTTCAATTGATGAAGTGGTGAACCAATTAATAAATTTACAGTGCGCATCTTGAGCAGTGCAAGACAGTATATTCCTGAGGTACAGTTCTGGGAGCTGGGGGGGATTCGGCTGGTGCCTTTCTCTCTGTGATTCATGAATGGCTCTGGGAACATTCATGCAATCTAGCTGGGTGTGGGGCTCCACATGCGGTTGTGCTGAGTGATAACGCCTGGAGGGGCTTGCTGCTGATCACTAGCAAGGCATTGTGAGAGACAACCCAGGCTGGAGAGGGTTCGGGGGCACAGCGGTCCCACGGTCCCAGGCTGCACCCCAGGGATTCCATCACATTGAGTATTGGCTATTTGGATCTAATCACAATCATGTACATTTCTGTAACCCAACTTATTGTAATAAATTTGTATACAAAACATACTGCAAACTTCACCAACCTCTAACTGAAATCTCACATACACTTCGCTAGAACACTAATAATTATAAATACATAAATATGATCAATAAAGCATGAAAGGTATAATGGCTAAAGCTTTCTGGTAGACTTTTCCAAGAGTTTACTCTAGCTTCTCACTGTCCTTCTTGAAATAGTTTAGTTGAAGATTATCTTAATCATTCTGCACACTCTACAAGGTAAGTATCGTGCCATGGGATTGTGGTTCAACTTCCATATTTCACCTCAGAATACTATAAATTAGATTAACTAACTCAATTTTAGTCATTTCCACATTTTCCTCTGCCCAGTAGAAAGAATCATAGACATTAGCAATGAAAAAGGCAACACGTCATGCAGTGAATCACTTCGCCTATTTAGGAAATAGTGAGATGTTCTATTTGCTGTCATCTGGCAAAAAAATGATAACCTAGTGGAATCTGCTCTGGAAGTAAGAAGACAAACTAGTAATGAAGAAAGGCTCTTTGGAATTTAGGAAAGGTTTTCTATTTTAAACATCTGATATGGAGATTAATGGACAGTAAAAATCTGTCTCTAGCAAGATAATCCACAATCCAGGAAAAGGTCAGTCAATTCTAAAACTAATTCTTTCCTTTAGAAAAAGAGATGAGAAGCTCAAATGTTATCTCTGGGCAAACTGTATTGAAAGTCTGGAAGAAAATATTTTTCACACTAGTTTGTAACGTAGATTATTCCAAAGTCTGGGAACAGGCCTTGTCACTGGTTTAACTAAAACCAATTTAAAACTGATCTAATTAAACCAGTACAAACCCCAAATGTAGACACTTAAATCTGTTTACATTTTTGACTGAAGCTAAACTAATATAAAGCAAGGTTTAAACGGCGTTAAGTATGTCAATATTAAGGATTTGTATCAATTTAACTAAATCAAATTTCTAATTCTATTTTAGTTAAACGGTACAATTTTCTAATATAGACAAGACTTCAGTTGAAGAGGAAAATCAGCTATAAATACAGATCTGCAGATAAAGCTCATACTACAAGTTAAAGAGTTAGGCCTGGTCTACACAACAAAGTCAAGTCAACATACACTCCCTTGCGTCAACCTCATTGTGCATGTGTCTAAACTTAAATGTGTCTCCCACTGAGGCCTTGGCTCACTTTGGGACGGGCAAATTATGCTATGTGTAGACTGTGCTTGCCCTTCTTAAGTACGGGGGAAATCATTGCTCTGTCTGGTGTGAACAATGCTGCCTCTCTTAAGCGTTGCATTTTGCCTTTACAGATGCAACCTTGAGATCTCAGCCATCCATGTTATCACCGGCCAAAAGACTCCAAAGAATCAGAAAGAGGCCACACAGAAGCAAGGAAGACATGTTGCATGAAGTAATGCAGCATTCAAGTAATGAAAATCAAAAAGTGCAGGAGTGGCGGAAGAGTGAAAGGAGAGTCCGCCAGCAGAATGCGGATCACCGGCACCAAAGCATGGAGCGCCAGCTAAGCATCATAGAGCGCCAAGTGGACTCGATACAGGCGCTCATAGCCATGCAGGCAGAGCACTACCATGCCCACCCCTTACCCGTCCGCAGCCCTTATCCCAAAACTCTTTCCCTTGTGCCCTCATGTCACCTCCGACCCACTTTCCCCAACATCCAGGTTACCACCACCAGCTGCCTCCAACACCTGTAGCTTCACCATCCAGCCCTGAAAACTATGACTCTTACCCACTGCACTCAACCCCCATCACCATGCAGTATAGCCATCCTGAAGTGCAGCACTCGTTGCATAGCACTCCAGACAGGACATACGCAAATCTGTGATGGTACTGTTCCCCACCCCCTTGCCCTTTCTGTTTCCCAAGCAGTTGGCTCTCTTTTCAATAAATGAATTTTCTTTTCAATAAATGGATTGTTTGGCTTTGAAAACATTCTTTATTATTGCATAAAGTAAAAGATATCTTAGCCCAGGAAAGCACTGCACTTCAGCACTGCAAGTC